ACAGAATTAATGCAATCCAAGGGCTGAAGATTTAACTCAGTGGTGCTGTGCCTGCCTTGCAAGCACAAGGTTCTGAGTTTGATCCCTGGTACCAAAAAATAATAGTAAGAAGAAGAATGTCACTTCACTGGGCACTAAAATTGCCAAACAGGGCTAAGACTGCCCTGCTCTCCAGATTCAATGCAGTCCCAATCAAAATACCAGTAGCAACCCTTACAGAACCAGAAAATACAATCCTAAAATTCATATAGAACCAAAAGAGACCTAGAATAGCAAAAGCAATCCTGGGTAACAAGAGCAAGGCAGAAGGAATCTCAATTCTGGATTTCACTTTATACTACAAAGCTGAAGTGATTAAAAAACAGCATGGTATTGGCAAAAAAACAGCCTTGTGAATCCATGGAACAGAAAAGAGGATACAGAAATGCCTTCAGGCACACTCAGCTACCTCTTTGAAAAGAGGGCCAAAAATTTTCACTGGATGAATGATAGCAACTTTAACAAATGGTGCTGGGAAAACTGGCTATCACATGCTGAAGACTGAACCTAGATCTACATCTTTCACTATGTACTAAACTAACACAAAATGGATCAAAGATCTAAATACTAAAACAGAAACACTTGATCTGCTGGAAGACAAGATAGCTAAAACTCTTGAAAGACACAGGATTAGGCAAGGGTTTTCTGAATAGAACGCTAGTTGTGCAAGAAATAATATCAGGAATGAAGAACTAGGATCATATCAAATTAAAAAGCTTTCCCACAGCAAAGGAAACCACCAAGAATGAAGAGATACCTACAGAGGGGAAAAATTTTTGTTAGCTGTCCCTCAAAAGACTAATATCTAGAATGGGAAACTGAAATGAACAGACACTTCTCAGGAGAAGTGCAAATGGCTAATAAATATTTGAAAAAATGTTCAACATCACTGGCCATTAGAGAAATGCAAATTAAAACAACACTGAGATTCCATCTCACTCCAGAAAGAATGGCTGTCTTTAAGAAATCAAATAGTAAGAAATGCTGGTGAGGCTGCAGGGATGGGGGAACTTTGTTGTTGGTAGGAATGTCAACTAGTAAAACTACTATGGAAATCAGTGTAAAGATTCTTCAAAAAACTAAAACTAGAAATTCCATTTGACCTGGCTATTCTCTTTTTATGTATCTTCCCAAAAGAATTAAAGACATTATACTACAGTGGTACATCCATACCCATGTTTATAGCAGCACAATTCATAATAGTTAAATCTTGGAAGCACCCTATGTCAATCAACAGATGAGTGGATAAAGAAAATGGGGTATTTACACACAATAGAGTACTACTCTGCCACCAAGAAAGACAACCTTGAATCATCTGTAGGAAACTGTATACACTTTGAGACCATAATCTTAAATGAGATAAATCAGACACACTAACATAAATGTTACATATTTTCTTTCATATGAGAAACCCAAAATATAAATAAAGTTCAAAATAAATGACAGACAATAAGAAATAGCCAGATAGGGTGGGGATTTAGTTCAGTGGCAATGCACCTGCCTCGCAAGAACAAGGTCCTGAGTTCAAGCGCGGGTACCAAAAAAACAAAAAGAAAAGAAAAAAAGCAAGCAAGAAAGAAATGCCAAATGGATCTTTAGTCTATGGGAAGGGGGCCAAGACATGGAGAGTGGGGGAAATGAGATGAAATGGGTGGGAATTATGATGTGCTATGTACATGTACCAAGTCCCTGCAAGGGATGTGGTCATTATATACTACAAACCTGTGCAGACCTAATAAATGGAGAGGTGTTTCAAGTTCATTATTGAAAATTTTAATGTTTTAAAAATGATAGTTCTCCCCAAGTTGATGTATGTTTTCAATAAAATCTCAATCAAAATAAATACATGGCAATTTATAGAAATTGACAAACTGAACTTAATATTTACATGGAACTGTAAAGATCTCAGAATAGACAAAAATTTTGAAAAAATTCAGGGACTCACACTTCCAATTTAAATATTTACTACAATGCTACAGAATTAAAGATAATATGAGACTAGCTAGCATAAGGACAGGAATATAGAGTAATGGAACACAAATGAAGTTGAGACATAAACCTATATATTTGTGGTCAAGTGGTTTTCAAATAAGGTCCCAAGGCAATTCAGTAGGAAAAGGATATGTTTTCAAAAAATGGTGATAGGAAAATAGAATGATCATGTGCAAAAGAGATGAATTTAGACTCTTACTTTACAATATACAAAAGTAACTAAAAATGTATCCAAAACACATAGGAAAGAGATGACAGTGTAAAACTTTTAGAAGAAAATATAGGAGAAAACCTTCATGATCGTGGGTTAAGCAAAAGGAAAAAAAATGATAAATTGGACTTCATAAAAATTCAATATATTTGTCCTTCAACATAGATGATTGAGAATATGAAAATACATGCCACACATTGGAAGAAAATATTTTCAAATTATTTATCTGATAAATATCCAGAATACTGTATATAAGGAACACTTATGTCTCAATAATAAGGAAGCAAACAGCCCAATTTAAAAATGGACAAAACACTGAGTAGATATTTCCCCCCCACAAAATACAAAAATGTCCAGCAAGTATATAAAAGGTGTCCAATTAGTCAATAAGGAAATTCAAATCTCAACCTTATTATTAACACTCACATGGCTGGCTATGTATATTTTTTTACAAAAAGGGAAAATAACAGGTGTTGCTGAGGATGTGAAGCTTCTTTAGAAAACAGTTTTGCAAATAACTAAACATAATAGAGTTATAGTATGACTGAGGAGTTAAATTCCCAGTTATCTATCGAAGAGAACTAAAAATATGTCCCTCCAAAAAAACTGTACACAAACATTCATAGTAGTATTATAATCACAAAAAGGTAGAAACAATCAACTGATGAGTATATTAGAAAACATTCTCTATCCATACACTTGACTATTAATCATCCATGACAATGAATTAAGTACTGATTCTAGCTATAGCATGGACCTAAGAACCTGGATACAAAAGGCCACATATTGTGTGATTCTATTTTTATAAAATATCCAGAATAGGAGTCCACAGAGACAGAAAATAGACTAGGGGTTGCTTTCTTCCAGGTGTGTTAATGAGAATGGACAGCAAACAGGCAAGAGAGATTGCACTGAGATGATGGAAATGCCTAAATAGGGATGGTAGTAATGGCTGCACCACTTAATAAATTTACTAAAAATCCCTGTGGTGCACACCTAAAACAGGCCAATTTTATGCTGTGTAAATGCTATCTCATTAAAAAATTTCCAAAACAACCAAAGAGAGAAAAAAGTTCATCCCCTTGATAATTTTTACAGGTCACACAGAGCTCATTAGTCTGTTGTCTGATGTTATGGCAGTGGCAGTGACGAGGGCTGAGGGTCAGGCAATTATTTGGCAGTTTAAAGTAAAAATGAAAAAATATTGCTGGCTTGAAATTTGGAGTAGTGGAGGTTAGAACTGGATGATATTCTAAAATACTCGGGATGTGGAAGTGACAGGATTTTATACTAATTAGATACAGACAGTGGAGGAGAGTGACGATGCCTCCTACTGAGCATGCTTAGGGTTGAATTCCTAAATGTATTGTGTTCCGCGGTGCTTTCGATTGCAATGAGAGGATCAGCATCCTGCCACAGACTAGGCATTCATTGATCATCTTTGGAGTGAATAAACAAAGTATGAGGAACAGAACAGAGATAGATGGATAGGTTGTAAAACATGGCCAAACAAAGCAGCCACCAGGTCTTGCCAAACAGCCAGTCCTAAACTCACCCTGATGTCTGTTCAACAGATGTCCAGCACGATTTCCCTCGGACTACTTGAGAAATCATCAGGCCCTTCCCTCACCCAGAAGAACACCCATGTATATATCAGGAACTCCTTGCCTAGAACTTGCAGGTGTGGCCCAGGGTGGGTTTTACCAAGTCTCTTATACTGAAAATCTACACAGGACAAAGGTAGGTTCACGTAAGCCCATATGAGCACGGGGGATATTTGGTGTTATAGAAAGAGGACGATGACGTTGCCCAACTGATGGATCTATGTTCAGTTTGGCTCCAGGCAGGAACAGACTCTTGCCACCAAAGAGGTTTATTAGTCCTGCCCCCACCCCACCTCATGTCTGGCAGGCAGAATACACAGCTGCCAGGAATGTCTTAGACATTCAGTGATCAGTTTGGATATTTCACTTCAGTTCTCTGCATTGACAAGTAGAGATAACAAACTACTTGTGGTTCCTGATACAGGGAGCAAAACAAGGAAATAATATGACCCAGCCCACACTTCCAAGAAATAAAAAACTAGGAGGAGTACACTAAAGAAGCCTCCAGACTCTACCACTGCAGTGAACATTCCTTTCATCATACTGGTTATGAAACAAAGTAGAGCATTAAGTATTGTAATAAAGCCATATTCACTTCTTGTGGTTGTTGTAAAAAGTATTTTGCATACCATATAGTTACCATTATCATTATCATCACTTACTTAATGAAGAGGAATTGGAAGTTAGCATTACAACTTTGGTCCGTATTGTTTAGTGGGTCATTAGAGCTAACTAATGTAAAACCAACTGCATATAATTTTTAGTGTAGTGTATCCTGACAGAGCAATAACAAGCTAAGAAACAACTGTAGAAGACCACTGCTTGAGAGTGAATTATGGACATGTTTCTAAATATGAGAGCTCAAGTTTTTCTTTCAATTATTAGTTATACAATTATCCAACTCTTTTATCATGAGACATTTGCTAACTGTATACTGTACTTTGTTCATTCAACACAGAATATATCGGTAATCACTTAGTTAAAATCCTTAATTGTAAAGCATTTACAAGAACATTATTCAGAGTTGACATTCATTTAATGAATTGAATGAATGTCATTTGCAATAGTATTAAATGCCTCTTCAGAGTTGTTTTCACAACAGAGGACTTCCTAACCTAACTTCCTTTATCCTCTACTCTTTCACTTCCTAGGCAGCCTTGCTCTGGAGGGGCAGACAAAGGGTAAAATCTGGGCAGAGAACGATATGAGAACGAAAGAAATCAGCGCTGCAAAACTCTTGTAAAAGATGATTTCTCCTTTCTTTCCATGGCTGAGTAAAGTGGGGCACAGAGAAAGTACAGACTAGCTGAAATACAGACACCAAGTGAGTGACAGATGCAGGACTGGAAGATCCAACAGAGTTTGAAACAATGTACACTGCGCGTCAGTCCCAACGCCAGCTTGTTCCAGCTCTTCCTGAGCGCTAGGCCCTTCTAGCCTCACGCTGATCTCAGAGACAGACCCTGCAGCGCAACTGGCACAAACAGTGACGATAGCCCTGCGGCAAGGCAGGAGTGTCCTCCTCCGTGAGTTAAGGTGAGTATTGCCACTCTGGGTCTGAGCAGCCTGGGTAGGAGCCGCTGCTTGCACTGTGCCAGGCCTGAAAACTAGAGCTCTGGCAAATCCATCCATCCCATGCACTCAAGACACCTTCTCCCCGACCCATGGGGCAGGACCTACCTGTGCCGGGGTCGCGACTCCCAATTCTGCAAAGAGGGCGGAAATACAAGCAAAGAAGGCCTTGATATACAGCCCTTCTCGGCCTTTGCTCTTTCCAGCGAAACTGTTGGCCTTGCGTTCCCCTCCCCCAGCCTGTTTGGGCCCCGCTTCGAGCCTGGAGGCCCCGCCCCGCTCCTTCCGGGCCTGTGGAGTAGGTGCCTTGGTTGCCTGATACCTGTGCTGCTGCCGGGGCATCTTAAAGATTCGTACCCTAAAGAACTGAGTGTGCGAGATGCTCTACTTAGCCTTCATTGAACAGATTGCCTGTAATGCTACACTGCATGTAAAACCTCGGTAGCTTGTCTGCCTTATCAGTGCTCCTCTGGAGTCTCTCCATTACTCTCTATTTATGGTGGCTTGTCGAGGTTTGCTAGAACTAAAATTGCTTCAGGACTTTTCCACCACTTTCTAGAAGTTAATTATTCACATACCACTAGCTTCTGGGTTCTCAAGTTGAGCATCTTGAATCCAAGAGCCAGGTACAGTGCTAATATTAGCAGGAAATAAACCATAAGGAATGAGCGCCTTATGCATGTAAAAAGTCTACTGAAATAGTATGTGTTATGGAAATTCAAGGCAAAGGAAAAATATTGAGAGCAAAAATACAGAAGAAAATACAATGCACAGATATTGAAAGTAGGAAATTGTATAGTATTATAGCTGTTAAAGATGAAAAGTATTACTCTGATGTCAAAAAGGTAGTAAAGGAAATGGTTTGTAGAAGTCATAATTAATAGAAGAAGAAAAAACCTCCACTCTGAAGAGCCTACTACCTCACATGTTTAACATGGGATTCTTTCTGCCAAGGATGCTCTTCCCACACTTTTTAATGTAGAAAATTGTTTCTCATGATTTTTACTTAATTTAGATGTTACCCTCATCTACGGTTCCTTTACTGTCATTCCCAGATAAATTTGTATTCTTATTTTCCATGGGTCTGATATGCCCAATGGATCCAGTACATCCCTCAAGTATATCACTTATTCTGGATTATAATTTCACCTTTAGCATGTTTTTGCCTTCCAATGAACAAGTACCTTCTTGAGAGCAGAAAACTTCTATTTTTCATATTTATTTTCCAGCCACAGGGTGTAACATGTGTAGACATTTAGTAAATATTTATTAAAAATTAAGAATTACCTAGAACCAATAAATACACAAAACGGTTAAAGCCAGAATGTGAATTGGTGTTAAGAGGAATAACTGAATGAGCCTAGATTTAATCTGGAAGGTATTCTTTTATATAATAAACATTAATGAGCGCCTACTGTATGTCAGATCTTGTAAATAAGTTCTCAATAAAAATGATAGACGAAAACCAGATATAGTGCATGCCTTTATAACTTTATGTTTAAATAACAACTAGGAGTTGGCCAGATAAATGGGAAAAGGAAGAACATTCCAGACAGAGAACAGCATGATCCAATATCCGGTAATAGGAGCATGACAGTATCAATTAGAGTGAATGACATCAGTAAAGGTGAGGATCCATCAACAGATATAAAGCACCCAGAAAGAAGTTAGGGACTGGGCTGGGGATTTAGCTCAGCAGCACTGTGCCTGCTTTGGAAGCGCAAGGTCCTGAGTTTGATCCCCAGTACAAAAAAAAAAACAAGTAAGGGATTGATAAAGCATGTTTAAGTGTCAGAAAAAGAAGCCACTTGGCTTAGTAAGAGTAACCAATAGTTATTAAACTTGCATTATATGTCAAACATTGGGCTAAGTATTTTATAATAAATACTTAAGGCAGATAGTATTATTTTCCTTACTTTAAAGATAAGTCAACCGAGGTACAGATAGGTTAAGCAATTTCATCAGGATAGCACAGCAGTTAAATTTCAGACCTGAGATTCAAACTTAGGTATTCAGCCCTAGACCCTGGTGCAGGGGCTGTAATACAAGCACAAGGGAAAACTATAGTAAAAAGTGCTTTGAACTAAGAAACAATATGTTGGACTTTTAACACTGGTGCTCTAGACATAAGACTTTGGCCTAGATATTGGTTCATAGTAACATGGTAGTAGTTCCTTTGGTAGATGATACCATTCAGCAATGATGATTTCAACATAAGGCATCAGCAGCAAGTCAGAGCAAAGGAGGCAAAAAAGGTAGTTGCCCTGAGTGCTACTTTTATGGAGCACAAATGGAACTTTGGGCAAAGGACTTCATTTCTCTGACCCTAAATTTCTTATTCCACAAATTGGCACACTAATGCTATTTATCTTGGAGGACTGCGATGATTAAATGAGATGATGTGTGTAAAGCACCTAGCCATGTTGGCACACGGTGTCAATGAATATTAACTGTTATGGTGTTATTGTAGTTAAGAGATCAAAGGAGAGAAGTTATGAACAATTACAATTTGAGGAAGGTGATATGAGGTGTCAGACAAATACTGAATGGGTGGTGGAACAAAATTTATTTTCTCTTTGCATCAACTGTCCCCTTTTAACCTCTAATTTTATTTAGCACTTACTGTTAATAACTAAGTGTTGTAGTTGCTTACTTGTTGGTTTCCTCTGTGTGTGTCTGCTTGTAGCAGCTTTTATAGTGTCTTGCAAGACACTATATGAACTTAAAGAACATTTGTAAAATGAATTAATTAATGAATAAAAAGTTAGGTACAAATGTACTAGATAATAAAATAGAAACAATAATATCTGGGTCCTTTTATATTCCAGCTACACTACTGTTCTTCTATTCCTCAAACACACCATGCTTGCTCCTGTTCTGCTTGCAAAATATAATCTGCTTATCCATTTGTCCCTACCTGAACTTCTAACAATCCAGCCAGAGGTTAACAATTTTTTTTTCTGTACAGGTCAGGTAGAAAATATTCTAAGCTTTGTGAGACACATGCAGTCTTTATAGCTACTCAATTCTACCCTCATAGAGCAAAAGCAGTCACAACCACAGACAATGCATAAATTATTGCATGTGGAGGTTTTTCAGTAAAAGTTAATTTACAAAAGCAGAGAGCAAGCAGGATTTGGCTTGTGGGCTGTAATTTAATAACTCCCACTTTAGACCATATTACCACTATTTCTTGCATGGACCGCTTTATTAAATGACATGTGGACATTATCATCTTTGGCTAAAACCTACATCTTGGTTTTATCGGCATTTTAGTGGAGTTTTAATGCTTTCAAATGCTACTCATAAGTTATTGAAAATGGTTGAAACTATTTAATTTTGAATTTTTATTCACAAAAATAGTTCTTAAAAACTTAAAAGAAAAAAGAAAAACTTTAGATAAGTTAAACTTAAGAGAGTTTATTTAAGCAAAGAGCATGTCATGAATCAGGCAACCCTCAAAAACATGAGAGGTTCAGAGAGTTTCACACAGCTATGTGGGCAGAAAGTATTTATAGACAGAACATGGAAGTAATGTCCAAAAAGAACATGATTGGTTGCAGCTTGGTGTATATGTTATATAGATATGTCTCAGTAGTTATTTTTTATTGTCTATTGTTTACTCTTTTTTGAATATTGTACCGTTTTTTCTCTTTTTATTTTATTGGTACATTTTAGATGTACATAATGACAACATACAATATAGAGAATTTGTACCTTTACATGATATATCTTGCTTCTTCTTTTTTTCCCATTCCCCTCTCCTCCCCTCCCCTCAACCTCTCTTTCCCTCTTCATTTACCAAAGCTTTATTTCCATTTTTCCTTCTATTCTTTTTTTTGTCCCTTTTTCCTTTCCCCTTCTCATCTCCATTGTTCACTGTCTCATTTGGACGCCTTCTTCCCATTTCCCAATATCTATTGTACATTTGTGTCCTTATTTACACTTTCTGTTTCTCACACCAGAGAAACCATGCAATATTTGAACATGTGTGTCCAATTTATTTCACTTAAAAGTATGGTCTCAAGGTGCATCCATTTAGTTAGAAACGTCTCAAGTTTATTCTTCTCTATGGCAGAGTAGTACTCCATTGTATAAGAAAAACTACATCTTTATCCATTTATCAGTTGATGGGCATTTGGGCTGTTTCCAAGATTTAGCTATTACAAACTGTGCCGCTATAAACATGGGGGTGCATATATTGCTGTGGTATGATGCTTTTAATTCTTTTGATACCAAGGAGGGGAATAGCTGGGTCATATGGACCTAGTTCTTTGAGGAATCTCCACACTGATTTCCACAGTGGTTGCACCAGTCTGCACTCCCACCAGCAGTGGAGAAGGGTTCCTTTCTCCCTCCAGCCCCTCCAGCATTTGTTATTGGTTGTTTTCTTGATAATAGCCATTTTTTCTGGAGTGAGATGGAATCTCAGCCTTGTTTTAATTTACATTTCTTAAATGAGAAATGTTCAACATTTTTCATATATTTATATATGAAACATTTTTTCATACATTTATTTGCCACTTCTACTTCCTCATATGAGAAGTGTCTATTCATTTCAGATGCCCATTTTTGGATTGGGTCTTTAAATTGGGGGTGTCTGATTTTTTTGAGTTCTTTATATATTCTAGATATTAGTCCTTTGCCTGAGGAACAGCTGGAAAATTTTCTTCCCACATGGTGGATTGTCTCTTCACTCTGTTGGTTTCTTTTGCTGTGCAAAAGCCTTTTAATAAGATGTGATCCCAGTTGTTGATTCTTTATGATATTTTCTGTGTGATCAGAGTTTTGTTCATAAAGTCTTTGCCTACACCAATGTCTTCAAGAGTTCTACCTATTTTATCTTCCAGTAGATTTAACGTTTCTGTTTTAATATTTAGATTTTTGATCCATTCTGATTTTATTTTAGTGTATGGTGAAAGATATAGGCCTAGTTTTAATATTCAGCATGTGGAAATCCAGTT